CTGCTGCATCGAAGATCAGCCCAACAGCCAGCATTCGCTGCACCCAGTTCCAGCTCATCTGTACACCCTGGGCCGTGTCTAAGCTAAGCTAACTGCTTCATTTTCTACCTTGTTAATAGAGATGGACTCATTATTACAGATGTACCGTAACTCTCTGCTGATTATAGATGTAACCCAGAAGTAACTTAAAATTTCAAGAAAACTTTAAGCTGTAATTTATACCAAAGAAGCAATCCCACTCTCTTCCCATGACTGCTAATTCCCACCCGTGCTGCCAACTCCACTACGTCAGCACTTAAGTCCCAGTGCTGGCAGAGGGAGAAGGAGGGAAGGATTGGGTGGGGGCCCAGTTTTGCTTAGGTGAGATGAACCTTATCCTGTGTGCACCTTGAGAGAAGGAAACGCTTTCCAGGCTATTACAGTGTATATTAGACAAGATGTAAGAGGAAGAAGCATTTTTTTCCATTTCTATGCCCAAATAATCTGTGTCTTGTCACCCTAAAAAAATGGCTGATGAGAGCCTGCTCAACTGATGACCATTTTTGATAACTACAGAGGGAGTTCCAGAAGACTGGGAAAGTGCTAAGGTTTTACTATTATTCAAAATGCTCTGGATATGTTTTTACATACACATATGCTGATTAACTGGATATAATTTTTAAAACACAGTGACTGTTTTCATACACTGTTAAAAGATGGGAATTTCGTTATGACAGCTCACCACAATTCTATGGAGAAACAGATCAGACAAACAACTTTTCACTCCCTGAGGAAAAAACGCTTATTTGTTGAACACAGTTTTGACTCTGTGCCACTCAAGATATTGTTATCATTACATATTGCCTGTCAAACATCAAATAGATGAAGAGTTGGGTGGCAGCTCACAAAAAACACTAGTCATTACAGAATCACCATATTGTAGGAGCTTGTACTGGTGTCCACAGGGATTAACACTAGGACAAAAACTATTCATTGTCTTCAACAACCGTCTGGAAGCAAATACAAGATGACGATGATATCTGATATGCAAATGGTATCTGGTAACATTTGTGATGTGGTAAATAACAAGGAAAGGGCAAACTGAATCCAATTGCAACTATCTGGTAAGCTATTCCTTCCAACTATGTGTTAGTATAAAAGAACGCAAAGTGCAATGGACTGTATGCTAAAAAATGAGGCTCTTGGAGAGCGTGGGACAAGCAACACTGTCAGCGGAGTGAATAGTCCAGGTTTTATCTCTTGTTAGCAAACAGAGTAGGTCCCTAGGGTTTCAGGTAGGCTCGCAGTACATTTTCCTGCACTTGTTAAAGCTGAAACTGCGCCGTCTAACTGCTACCACTTCTGCAGGTTGCAGTGAGCGAGTGCAGATCTGCTGCCCACGGGCTGTGCTCTTACCTGGCAGTTCATTCACACACCATTCCCTGCCACCTTTGGAAAATGATGAAGCATGGCCAGTCTGACCTGATAAACTGAATCACCATTTCATATAAACGAAAAGACTCTCAGTTACCAAACTACTTCTCATAGTGCAAAGTTTCTCCTCGCAGAAATATTCCATTCACATATTGTCAAATACTGCTGCTGCTCCTTCACTAGAGAGTGATGAAGGGCACAACCCAGGCCAGTATGAGGCTGATGAGAAAAAGGGATTTAGAGACTCTGACACGTTGCATGTAGGTAAGTACAGCCATACTATTAAGGATGGTTTATCTATTGTAGTTGCGCAGCTCCTGAAATCAAGCTTTTAAATGCAGGATGCTCAGAAGCAAAGCTCTTTAGAAGACATTCACCTTGGGGGAAATTACATACTGATCATGAACCTGACACATTTTCTAAATTATTTTTAAATACCTCCTGCTAAGACTGCTTTTAACTATTTTGACAACTTCTGAAGCACACAGTACTGCAAACTTCAAGCCATTCTTCACACTAAGAATTTATGGATCTAGAGAGAATTAATTTACTGGAAATTACATCTACAGCACTATAAAGACTTTGCCCTTAGCAGAGCAGGGTGGAAAAGTTGGCAGCCAGTTAGCTATCATTTCTCCCAAGGAAGGATGTTTCAGAAGTGATATAGAAGCAGTCTGTGAACTGTCTGTAAAGACTCTTCAGTGAAATATGGATTTTAAAAAAAGTCACTAATGCTCTATCACTTAACTCTGTTGAAAATTTCCTATTTAAGGTGAACGAGAATTTCCCAGCTGGTGAGTAAGTGAACATCAAATCATCGATAGCAAAGAATTTTAGGTG